CCGCTACCTCCTCGCTTCCGAGGGCGTCCAGAAGCTCATCGCCACCAACGCACGCACCCACACCGACTACTTCCTCCAGTGCCTCGCCCTCTTCCAGTCCATCCATCCCTCCAGGCGTGCCGTCTCGGCACACGTCGAGTTTGAGAGCGAAATGTGGATTCCCGTCTTCCACATCAGCTCGCACCTCGGCAAGGCGGCCAAGATGTTTGGAGAGGCGTTCGCACACGCTTCGCCCGACCAGCTCGTGGAGGCCATCGTTTGCTCCTTGGATGCCATCAGCGCAACCTGCGAGCATCTCACCGTATGTGACGCGGAGTCCTACCCGCCCACCACCTTCCACGACGCTCGCTACCGCATCGGCGCCGATGCTGGCACCAAGGTGCTTCCCGTCGTCTCGTTTGCAGTCGAGTCGCAGCCCGTCAGCTTCCACCAGCCAATGCACTGGCTCTTGGCCGAGCTGCTCCGTCAGATCCCGCTCGTAGGCCACCAGGCGCTCCAGCAGTGGTCGGGCAAGCAGCGTCTCGACGAGCTGCTCCAGGACAGAGTCGACGAGAAGAAGCTCCTCGTGGCACTCGACTATCCGCTGCGCGTGTGCGTCAAGCTCGCCCAGATCCGCTGCAACATGTGGGTGCGCAACGGCTTTGTCATTCGCTCCCAGGCGCATCACTACCGCGACAATTCGATGCGCGGCATCATGTTCGACCAGGACCTCCTCCTCATCCAGGCCGCCTTTGCGCTGCTCGACACCGATCGGCTGCTGCTTTCGATGCTCGACCGTTTCCAGCTGCTCTCGTGGTTCGACGTCGCAGACGCGAGCGCCGACAAGCCATACGATGCGACGCAGGGCATCTTCCTGGCGGAAGAGCTGCTCTTCCTCATCGTCACCTGCCTCTCGGAGATGTCGTCCGTGTGTGCCTGGTCCATCGACGCCCAGATCCGTCGCGAAGTTATCCACTTCCTCGCGCTCGGCCAAGGCACCTTCTCCGACGTGACCAAGAACATCCCCGAGAAGTTCACCGACCTCGCTGCGTTCGAGCGCATCCTCTCGCAGGTCTCCACCTTCCGCGCCCCGGACGGCACGCACGACTTTGGCATCTTTGAGCTCAAGGACGAGTGCTACGCCGAGATCCAGCCGTTCTTCTTCCACTACACGCGCAACCAGCGCGAAAAGGTGGAGGAGGTGCTTCGCGCTCGCCAGAAGAAGCACATCGCTCAGACCACGGCTCGTCAGGCCTCGACCATCAAGGACGAAGAGCTACCGCCACTCGTGCCGAGCCCGTGTCTGGGCCAGCTCCGCGGCACCCTCTTCGGCCGTCTGCCCGAGGTCGTCTCGAACGACGTGCTTGTCTCGCTCCTCTTCCGCGCGCTCGACAACACGCGTGCGCTGGACACCTATGCGCCGGACATGCTCGTCGACACGGCGCTCCAGATCATCATGATCGGCCTCGTCGATGCCGCAGAGAGCTTCGCGGACAAGGCTGCCACGCTGCCGATCGCCAGGCTCCCGGCGAAAGGTGACGAGGCCGCCGCAGCCTCATCCGAGGCGACGCTGGTGGAACTGCTCTGCCAGATCGAGCTCCTGGAGGCCTTCAAGCCATTCAAGACCAAGATCAGCTGGTGTTTGGAGCAGCTCCTCTCGCACAATGCGACCGCACGCGGCATTGTCCAGGCGCACTTTGCCGCCACCGGACGTGGTGGCGCTGCGGCCACGGGTGCGACCAATGCCAAGAAGCCACAGAGCGCCGACGAGGCTCGCAGAGCAGCAGCCAAGGCGCGCCAAGCCGCCATCATGCAGAAGTTCTCGGCACAGCAAAAGAGCCTGCTCAATCAGTTCGGCAGCGACGACGATGACGATGACGAGGGCGAGGTGGATGCCGCTACGTCGTCCGTGGATGCCGAGGCCAGGGCGCCCAAGAAGAGCTGGGGCAGCTGCATCCTCTGCCAGGAGAATCTCGCCACCGACAAGGCGTTTGGCAGCCTTGCGCACATTCAGCCGAGCCGCATGATGCGCATGACGCCCAAGCAGGACGCGCCGAGCCTGCAGCAAGCCTTGGAGGCACCGCTCACCATGGACCGAAGCAGCGACGAGGGTAAGCGCGTTCAGGGCGCGCCGCCCATGGGTCGCACCGGCTTGCCGCCCAGCAACGGCGGCAGGACGCGGCAGGGGCCGGCGTACGGCAGCTTCCCGCAGGAGGACCACCGTTTCGGCTTCTACGCATCCACGTGCGGCCATCTTATGCACCTGCACTGCTTCGAGACGTACTGCAGGAGCGTCGAGCAGCGCCACACTCAGCAGATTGCGCGCAACCATCCGGAGGAGCTGCAACGCTCCGAGTTCATCTGCCCGCTGTGCAAGAGCCTCGGCAATGTGATCCTGCCCGTCGCCGATGCGACGCCGGCGGGAGATGCGTCGAGCTCCAACGGCAATGCGTTTGTGCCGTTCGACTCGGTGGTGTCGGACGACATGCCGCTGCAGGACTGGATCCGCAAGATCAACATCGACATCCTCAAGCACTCGTCCAAGACCAACGTGGCCGACTACCAGGAGACGGAGCACGGCAGCGGCGCGTTCCTGCCCTTCTTTGTGGAGCATTCGCCGAGCTCGCTGCAGGTGCGCCTCGAGATGGCGAGCATCGACCGCTCGACGGCGCAGATGATCGACCGGCTGATGAACGTGCTCAAGCCCATGTCGCAGGCGACCAAGCCGGCGCGGGAGAAGCTGCAGCAGCACACGATCCTTGCGCCGCAGGGACGCAAGATGTACATCCCGGAAGAGGTGGTGGCGTATACGATCGCCATGCTCGAGGTGTCGCAGCGCGGCATGACGCCGTCGCCATCGACCGACTGTGCGCTTCCGGTGGAGCAGCGGTCGGTGGCGGACGCACTCAACGACCCGACCGTCGACTTGCTACGCTCGCTGCTCCACTGCCTGCGGGTAGCCTCCTTGACGCTCAACGAGGGATCGAGAGGACCGGATATCATCCGTCGCGGACTGCTGAAGCGACTGCTGCCGCACTGGGGTGGGGACGACGCGGTGCGCTCGCCGTTGCTGCTGCGCGATCCGATGACGATCCTGATCGAGGCGGCCGTCGTGGCGCCCGAGGCACTGCCGCAGTGCACGGCGCTCATGTACTACGTGTGCCTGGTGCAGACCGTGTTTGGCCTCGCACAGCCCTCGATCTGGCCGCAGGTGTATGGCCACATGAGCAACATGTTTGGGCCCAATTCGGCGCTGCGGCCGGGCGCGGGTCTGAAGCCGGGCCAGATCGCCAAGGAGGACGTCGAGGAGGCGCGTCGCATCTTCCCTGACGTGCGCTGGACGGTGGCCAACATTATCGGTTTCGTCGGCTACGCGCGCGGCAACATCACGCTCGGCTTCGATAATCTGGACGACGACACGCTGGCCAAGATGATCTGCAGCTACACGCTGCCGTTCCTGCGGCGCGCTGCGATCCTGCGTCGCGTGGTGGGCGTGACGGTGGCCGGCGGTGCGAAGCCGGGGGAAAGCACGGAGGGGGTGGGCGAGTATCGTCGGCTGTTGGCGCAGCTGCAGATTCCGCTGCCGTCGGACGCGCTGCCGGTGCGTGCGGAGAAGCAGACGCCCATGGCGAGCATGGTGGAGGGATGGATCAAGCATGCGTATGTGCCGCTGGCATCGCTCTTCCGGCCGCTACCGATCCAGCCGGCGCCGCTGGGCAACTCGCTGTTCGGCAGTCAGCCGCCGAGTCTCGGCCACGATCGACCATCGTCTGCGGCGGCGGCGGTTGCGGGTGGGTCGAGTAGTGCTTCGCTCGGCGGGGGACGGTCGGGAGGGGGTAATTCGTCGCTGGCGACATCCTACCTGCAGGCAGCCGAGACGCATCCGACATTGCTGCTGGAGCATCCGCACGTGTACGAGCTTGCGCGGTTGCCAGCGGACCTGGCGACGCTCTTGCAGGATACGCGACGACGGGCGTGCAAGAAGTGCGGCAACATCCCCCCGGAGCCGGCGCTGTGTCTGCTGTGCGGCGAGGTGGTGTGTATGCAGTCGTTCTGCTGCCAGAGCGAAGACGACGGCGAACGCGGCGAGTGCAACCAGCACATGGACCTCTGTGGCGGCTCCACGGGCGCGTTTTTCAAGATCAAGAGCAACCTGGTCTTGTTGCTGTACCAGGGCAACGGCACCTTCCACTTTCTCTCGCCGTATCTGGATAGGCATGGCGAGATTGATGTGGGCCTGCGAAAGGGCAGGCCGCAGAAACTGCACCAGCAGAGGTACGATGAGCTGCGCAAGCACATCTGGGCGCATGGCGTCGCGAACATCGTCGCGCGCAAGATCGAGGCGGCCATGGACACGGGTGGATGGCAGACGTTCTAGCTGGCATGTCGCGGTGATCGTGGCTGGCGAGGTCCAAGATGCGCCCCATCGAGGCGGCACGAAATGGACAGTTTGGTTGTTGCATTCGATTCGATCGGCCAAGTGTACACTGGGCACGTGCGATTTTGAGACTGGAAGGGGCTGTGGCTGGATAGCTTTGGCCGGCCGTGGAACATTGCAATGGATCTGGAGCGGCTATGGAGGGCGAGTGGATCACTGTGGCTGCATGGCATTGCTGGCCATATTGGACATTCTTGGCAACATAATTTGCTAGCCTCGATACCAGCCGTAGCGGCATGGCGAAGCTTGCACCTCGCGCAGGAGCAGCCGTTCGCACACTGGGAAAGTGAGGGGGATTTATCGGCTGGTCCACACTGCGGCTGGATGGTCTGGAAAGGCGCAGCGTTTGCAACGTCACGTCTGACCGAGGTCATTGATCATCGGCACCAGCTGCGTACTTAGGACTGCGGTTGTTGCAGCGTGGTACGGCACTGTCGTACTCGCCCAGATCGAAAGCCCTCTTTCGGCACTTTCAGACGCACCATGCCATTTTCACCGCCCAATCCCACCTCACTCCCACCATCAGCCACACCATGGCGCACGCAAAGTTTCCAACAGCCCACACTTGGCATTCGCACGCGCATCACTGGTACGCCGGCTTGCTCGGGGCGATGGCGGTGAGGAACTCGTTGTACGACGAAATCGCCGCACACAGCGCCGCGTGCTCCTGCACCGCATGGTGCACCGATGCTTGCGTCTCGTACGGTGCATCCGAGTTGGGTGCGACGAGGTCGAGCACACCCTCGCGCGGCCAGTCGAACTTCAATGAGTAGCGCCACGACTTGACCAAGCTGCGCAGCGTCTCGACAGTGCGCCGCACGGCTACGAACATGCTGCTCAGCGTCACGTTGGCCAGATCGACGAGTCGAGAGCGACGGCCCAGATGGACGAGCAAGACGAGCGTAAAGAGCGGCCGACTTGTGCGGCCCGTGCTGTCGATAAAGAGCGGATGCACCTCATCGCGGTCCACAAGGTCTTCATCCACACCCTCCGCTGCGCGGTGCAGCGGAGCCAGAATCGCGTCCCACTCGCCGTCGGGAAGCAGCGTGTCCAGCTGGTACAATCCGTCAATCCCGTCCGCAGAAGAATGCTCGGATGCAATGATCCGAAGCTCATGGTCCAGGTTGTTGCTGGCCCAATAGCTGTTCGTGTGGCGCGAGTTGAACGCTTCCAAAAAGTACTTCCGCTCGGAGGTGAAGCGCAGATCGAGCGTATACCGCTCCACGTCGGTCTCGGTGTCGAGGCAGAAGCCGTAGCGCGTGAGCAGCAGCGCGTTGGGCAGAGTCCCGTACGTGTTGAACATCTCGTCGCCGCATGCGTGCGGGGTAAGTGTGCGCATGTCGAGCGTGTCCACGTAGTCGCCTCCGTCGTCGCTAGCGGCGTCCTCATCCTCGTCTGCACCAGCTTCTGCATCGGGCCCTACTTGGACTTCGGCCTCCTCCTCTTTGACCGCCTCCTCTTCTTCTTCCTGTGAATCGTCCTCTTCCTCGCTCTCTTCTTGTTTGATCTCGTTTTCGTCAGTCGACGACGCTTCGTCCTCGGACTCGGCCTCTTCGTCCTGGAGGCCGGACCTGCACTCTTCCTCCTCGTGTCCCGTGAGCAAGGCCTCACCGCATATCTCGCAGACGTCCTGATCGGACTCGAACTGCACCGTATGCGTCTCTGCGTGGTTGAACAGGTCCGCCACAGGCACGAGCCCGACGCCGTGATACGTGTCGACAATAAAATCCCTCGACGACACGTGCGTGTAGGCAGTCAGGAACGGCGTCTCGAGCATCTCGAGATGCTGACGCTGCGTCGCATCGAACAGTCCGCTTCGCTTGAGCACCTCGATTCCGATGTTTTCAAAGTAGTCGAGCGCCTTTTGGCGGCACATGCCGTAATCGTGGTCATACGGCCATTCGACGCCTTCCGACGTGGCAGCCATGTAGACCTGGGACGCGCGCTCATCGATGCGGCCTGCCTCCGTGTTGCGGATAAATCTCCATGGATCCGGCGGCGCGCCATAGTCACGAAATCGGGTCGTATCGCGGAGGAAGGGCAGGGGGACGGGCAGGCGCGGGAGGATGTCGATGAACGGGGCGAAGCGCGACTTGGCGCCCAGAAGCCGCTCGTACAGCAGGCAGAGTGCGAGTTCAAGTCCGACCGTCTCGTGCGAGTCGCTCAGCCACTTGCCCTTGAGCACGTGCGAGAGTGCAGATGTCTTCCGGGACAGCACCGCCGTCTTAGGGATGGTCGCGACCACTTCGTCGAGGTCGATCGCCGCGCCGGCGTGAACCGAGATGCTCCACGAGACAGCGTCGCCCCGATACCGGAGGTCGAGCCGGGGGTCGATCGTGATGCCTTGCGCCTTGCACCATGCGAGGAAGCGCGAGAGTGGAGCCGGCGTCTTGCTCGCAGGGCGGCGCGAGGGGGAGAGATCGCCGTGGTGCGAACTGAGCGGCGTGCTTGACGTGCTGGGCGTAGCAGTTGCCGACGCTGTCTGGCTGGATTGCTGCGAGCGGACAGTCTCCGTCCGCCTCCGCTTAGACGCGCGCCGTGGTGGGAGCTCGCGCGCTGCTTCCATCTCTGCGAGATAGGGCGGAGCACCGAGCTGAAGTTTCTGGGGGACTGCGGAAGCAAACGTCGATGAGGTACGCCGGTTCGATGCGAGACAGAGAAGAAGAAACGCGTCTCAGGGTCCCGCTGCCAAACACGCCGCACTAAAGATGGACCCTGACCAGCTCCACACCAACACCTCGTGTCAACTTCTTCCCGATCCCCGATCGGTGATCTACCTTCATCCCCTCACCGTTGCCTCGGTGACCACAGCGTCTGACGACAGTGAGAATCTGTCACACAGTGTTCGTGGTGCATCTTGGCTCAAAGACTGCGGGCCGGGCAAGGCCATGGCGTGGGGTCGAAATGATGGGCAGTGACTCGTGGCCCGAGGAAATATGGTTTCATCCATGGCGATGGGGAGGTCAGAACCCGTCCACAGACGATGGAGGTACCGATGATGAGCGGAGCGGAGGCCAGTCATCCTATCGCCGGCTCAGGTGATTCGCTGGAGATGTCCGATGTTACAAATGATGCCATTCGCGATTGTTAGCATGGACGCAGATCACCGCGCGCTTAGGCAGGTCCGAGACCGAGGCAGGAAGCGCTCGCGTGCAAGCCGAAGGATGTGCGGCGGGCAGATCCGATGGTCAACCGCAGGCTGCAATGCGGCAGAGAAGCGAGGGCGGCGCTAGTCCCAATGGCACCAGACACCCCGCACGTCGTCGGATGAAAGTCTTCCGCGTCAGCCACTACTAGACTCAACCACTCGCTCGGGACCCTGTGGTCTTGTCGGCATGAAAGGCTGCAGGGCTCGATTACATGCTGTGGCCAAACGACAAGCTCAAGCTCCATGCCCGCATTGGTGTCCGGCGGAGCAACCGCGACTAGCTCAGTCGAGCTAGTCTTGTTCGCACCGCTGCGGCGTCGGCGGCATCCCGAAGTCGAGACGACGTCGCTGTCAGTCGTCCTCAGCTGCCACGCCATCATTGCTGTCGCTATCATATTGACTCTCGGTGCTGCGCCGTCCGCCTTGGGTATGCTTCGTCGCTCGCTTGTGCCCGACCTTCAAACCCGACTGGACCGTCAACGCCTACCTGGCCAGCTCGGCAGATCTCCGACTCTTTTCTCGAAAGCACGTTATCTCTCGGCACGCTCCGAGCAACCACGGGGTCGTTTCGCCATGGCATCGCCCGTCATCACCCAGGTTTGTGGGGCTGCTCCGAGAATGGCAAGTGGAGTGCGAGTTGAAGGGCTCCTCTCAAGGGGAAATGCCGATTTAGAGCTCGCCTGCCTTGCTGATCCGTGCGCAGCCCACCGAATTACGTGGCCGTGTTTTTCGCCGCGTTCTTCTCGAGTCAGAAGCAATTCCTCCCAAGGACCCGCATCCTCCGGTGTACGCCTTCTCACCCGATTGCCAACCCACTCACTACAAACCGCACATCCGCAGCTCCTCATCACAAATCTGTGAGTCTTCTTCCTCCAGCGTAGCGAGGCGATCATCGACGCAGCCGGAAACTCGCACTGGCACACGCCAACCTCGGAAGCTTGCCACGTCCGTCCTGGAGCCCCCGTCTCTCGTTGAAGATGGTCACTGTGCCCATCTCGGTACTCGGACGCACTGCCGGCGCACTTCGGACGTCCGGTACGGCGTCGTACACTCGTCAGGCGCTGAAGCTGACACCTAGCGCCATCGCTCGCACTGCATTCGCCCGTCACCTGTCGATCTCGCCATCGGTAGCCAAAATGTCGTCGACTCCCTACAAGGTCATTCACACCACCGAGGCGCCCGGCGCCGTCGCGCCCTACTCGCAGGCGGTCGTGCACAACGGCGTCGCCTACGTCTCGGGATGCATCCCCTTCACCCCCGAGATGAAGCTCGTCGAGGGCGGCATCGAGCAGCAGACCGAGCAGGCGCTCTCCAACCTCTTTGCCGTCGTCAAGGCGGCTGGCTCCGACCCTTCGGTATGTTTTCTTTCGACCGCAACAATGCCGCTGCAACGTTTACTTCCACACTGACGCTGTCTTCGCTTTGGCAAATAGCACATCCTCAAGTGCACCATCTTCATGAAGGACATGGCCAACTTTGAGAAGATCAACGTGAGTGCTGGACAGACATGTTTCGGTGACGCAAAATGGCTGTACTGACCTTTCTGCTCTTGCACCGCTCCGATGGGAATCGGAACTGCCGAACATGACAGGCCATCTACGAGAAGGTAAGTCCGCACCGCTGTGGGTACGATTGTGGTCAAAGGGCATAGGCTGACGCTTGCTTTGTCGATACTTGTCTTTGTTTGCCGCTCGGTAGCGCTTCGCTCCTTACAAGCCCGCCCGATCCGCCGTCGAGGTCTCGCGCCTGCCCAAGGACGTCGGTGTCGAGATCGAGTGCATTGCCGCTGTCAAGGCCAACCTCTAAGTACGACTCGATCCTGTGGCATCCATGCACGATACAATGAAAGCCGCGCCGTGCTATCTTTTGCCTGGCACACGGCCAATCACAGCAGAGTGACGCTTAGATGAAACGAGCATGAAATCCAGCTTGCGTCCCCACAGAGCTGAGCTTGATCATGGCGGTGTGGAGTGGACCAATGGGCACGCCCGATGAGCCCAAGATACCGGAGATGATCTGCCGCATGCGCCGGCGGCGGCTAGGCGAACAGGCGAGAAGGCTGCACAGCTGCATCGACGCGAGCCGGAAGAGGGCATGCCGACAACTGGGTGTGTGCTTGATGCCGTGATGTGATGAAGCCTGATCTGGTCAGAGGGATCCTTCGGTCCATTCTCCGATTCGCTGTGCGGCTCGACAGCCCTCGCTGATGGATATCAAGGCACGGCGCTGAGGCCGGCAGAGACCATCATGACCGGCAAGCTTGACCGTCGGAAGAGCCGGGGGGTCCCACGGTGACATGCAGGCGAGAGCCATCATTTCTTTCCGGCGAGCTCGGCACACTCAAGCGGCTGATCCGAACTCTGTCCTCATGCCGTGGGCTCGGGAGTCGGACCCTGCAATATGCTTTGCCACTGCTGTCTTTCCCTAAGCAGACCATCGCCACCCATCACATGTGATGCAGTGCTTTCCCATGGCAGAGTGCTTGATAAACTGGCTAAGATGGCTTGGCGAGACGTCTCTGACACGCGGAGTGAGTTGCTCAGAGACAAGCGCCAGGGCACAACAAGCCTTGTCGCAGGCACAAAGCGCCCATCGTTTTGCGAGACAGGCTGTCCTAGGACGAACGAGGAAGCTGCAGACCAAGCGGCGCTGACCGAGCGCATCTCGATAAATTGCGGCTCGACCCCGCTGCGCGCAGTGGGAAACGAGCCTTCGAGAGAAGAGCGTGGCGACACCAACCGAATCTCGGCTACAGCGCGGCTGCATGCTTAGCTCGCTTTTTGTCCACCGCCTCGCTCAGCTTTGGTCGCGCAAGCAGAACCGCTTCCTCTCCCTCTCCCCCCACACCTTCCAAATGAAGCCCAACCAAGCCTGCGGCTGCTCGGCTCTCCGCGTCGAGGGGCCATCGAGACCGCCGGAGATGGTTGGACCGCGGTCTCTATCGCCGCCCCGGCGTTTACCCGCAGCAGAGAGCTCGGTCGAGCAAAGACTGCAGTTCGTCGTTCACGCTTTTTTGTATTGTTGTGGCCGCTGCGCTTTCGAGAGGCAGAAAGAGAGTCTAGGGGAAGGTAGAGGTGTACCACTGAGCGATGCACAATAGGTCTCATATGCACGCAGATCCGGCGTTGGCGTATGCAGCAGGCTCAGAGACTCAGCAGAAGGCGTGATTTGGTAGGAGCTCGGGTCTGATCCGCCGCCGAGTTCATGGCAGGAAAACAGCGACCCATCAAGCCGGACGAATTCCGCGCACCTGATTGGAAGATCTGAGACCCAGGCGAGGCCTACTATCAGTGCAGCGATTGCAGATTTCTTGGGCTTCTGGCAGCTCATCGCAAGCAGGCTCCTTTCGCCATCCTTAAGGTGATGGACCACTATCAGGGCCGTGGGATAGGCTTTGACGGTGTTCGCAGTGTGAGAGGGATGACCCAAGCGAGCACAGATTATCGGTGCACCGATCGCGAGCACGGATACGATGAAGCATGGGGAAATGGGTCACGTTGCCGAAGACGGCTTCATTGTGGTTGGAAGAGAAGACCGACTTCCCCGCAAATACAGCAGGTCTCTTCAAGGGTCACGAGTGCTACGAGCAGGCTGGAAGGTGTGACGATCAAAGCATCGCGCCATTGCTTCGTCGAAACTCGCTACGCCTGTCATCATCGTCGACCCTCCCGGCAGTCTCCCGAATGCAATTCGAGAAGCGAGCACTGCTGCTGCACACTTCGGAGAGCGTCTCTCCGAGCAAGCTCACTTGTCCAGACACGCCGTAGGGGCTTGTTATCTTGAGGCATCGGTCGATAATGTTGCCAGTCTCTAGTTCTGTCAAGGTCACGCCGCCCGCTCAAAGGTGGTAAGAGCCTTGACGGGATTCTGCCGCTCGATGACGACGAGCCACCTTCGTATCGTCGGCAGTTGCACCTCCGAGCTGCCGTCGTCGTACGGCGGAGCCTGACGATACATTAGCGCGAACGCCATGCACCTCCGCCAGCCAAACCCGGACCACCATCCAGGACCCGAGCGGCTGGGACTTTGCGGCAAAAGAGAAATCTGTACATCTTCGCTTGTCGAAAGCGGCGGCATCGGCCGGCGGAGACAGCTTGATGCTGTCAAAGCTTCTGCACGGTCTAGTCGACGGAAGGGCGTGCGCCGTATCAAATTGGATATCGCCAAAGCCATCCGCTTGTCCACGCTCAATCAGATGGCGGTGGACAAGGCAGCGTACGCCGCACAGCGGAGTCTGCCTGTCATGGATGCGATGCATGAGCAAGGTTGATCGAAGCCGCTCATTTTCACCGCCGACGGCAGCTAAGGCGCTACGCAGTGTGACGTGACGTCGGGTTCATGGGCTCCGCATGCCAATGCGCGTTGCCTCGGCGGTGGGCAACGCCGCTCGTTGTCCTCCTGCCGATAACGCAGAGCGTTTTAGCTCCAAATCGTTCGAACTCCGACACGTCCAGAAAGCCAAACAAGGGTTTTGCGGCCCTTTGGGCTCTGGTTCGCCTCCACCCCCGGCCGGCATTGCCTCCTCCGAGCACTAGCGGCTTTGCTTCAAGCTCAGCGATCCGCCGCCAGATCAGCATCTGCCATGCAGCGCTCTGTTTGCCTGTTTTACGGTTCTTCTCGTCCGCTCGACACTTGGCTCGGGCAGAGGCGAGGGAACGGAAGGTGTCCTTTTGCTTTAGGGCTCGCTCGGCGTGGCATGCGGCCTCTGCTAGGGTCCCTTTTTCGTCGTAATCGCCGCCTCAATCGGCGACAGCACTGCGTCTGCACACATCCACAAGCGAGGTCACTCGCCTCCAACTGTGCATGTCTTCCAACTGCCTACATCTGCTTACGCCGTCGGCACTGGCGGCGGCGGCCGCGGCGGCGACGGCGGCACACCGAGCCGCCACCTCGCCCTCCCTCGGATATCCACTTTTCGCCCAGGTTATGATTGCCGAGCCTCTTCGCTTGCTTCCTCAGACCCTGCTCGTCGCCACGGCTGTTCGTCAGCTGCTCGCCGTCCCGCCACAGTCGCTTGACTTTCTTCCAAGCTCACCTGCGTATCGGTACTGACAGCCTTCCACGCGCGCGGGCGCACCCTCCGTGCTAGCGCCGAGACAAGCTCAACACGCCCACGCTCGCCTCGGTGCACAGGCTTCCGATGCCTGTTTGGGCCTAACGTTCTTCTCGCCTTAGCCTAATTCTGCCGGGCAGAGCAGGCTCAAGCTTCACATCGCCACTGTAGCTCGCTCGATGCCGCGCCTGTGGCTATCGACGCCTCCGATACTGAGCATGCTCTGCTCGTGCTCGGCGCTCCCCATGGACGCCATCGTATCCACCTCGATGCGTATAAAGACCGGCCAGATCGCAGCCAGTCCCATTCCCTCTCATCATCATCCTTCTCTCTCATCTCCACAACTCCTCTTCCCACTCTCTTCGATAGAAAGCCCGTCCCCCTAGCCACTCCTAGAAGACAACCTTCGCCATGCAGCTCAAGCTCTCCTTCGTCGCTGGCCTCATCGCCAGCGCCTCGCTGGCCGCCGCCGCTCCCGTCGAGCAGGAGCGCGGTATCAACATCGATATCTCCAAGCGCGCCACCCTGACCAAGGCCGGCACCAACCAGGTCGACTGGACCAAGGTTGACGCACACATGCAGAGCCTCCGCGCCAAATACGCAAAGAGCCTCGCTAACTTCGAGAAGAACACCGGCAAGGTCCACCCTCTCAAGCGCGAGACCTCTGAGCTCTCCAAGCGCGCCACCGGCACCGTCGGCCTCACCGACCAGCAGAACGGCGAGCTCTGGACCGGCACCATGGCCTACGGCACCCCCGCTCAGAGCTTCTCGATCGACTTTGACACCGGATCCTCGGACACGCTCGTCAACCCCGGCGCCTACAACCCCAGCTCGTCGTCCACCTCGAGCACCAACGGCGACACCTTCTCCACCGCTTACGGTGACGGCACCACTGCCCAGGGCACCATCTACCGCGACACCGTCCATATCGGTGGCCTGAGCGCCACAAAGACCGCCATCGGTGTTTCCAAGACCACCTTCATCGACTCCTCGGAGGGCTCGTCCGGTATCTCGGGCATGGCCTTCCCTCAGCTCGCCGCCTTCGGCTCCAGCTACCTCCCCTACTTCTACCAGCTCAAGCAGGCTGGCGCCGTCTCCTCGGGCAAGTTCCAGTTCGACCTCAGGACGAGTGGCTCGTCGCTCTTCCTCGGCGGAACGAACAGTGCGAAATACAGCTCCACTCCGGTGTACGTCAGCGTTGACTCGAACCAGGGCTTCTGGCAGGTGCCCGCCTCGGTCAACAGCATCGGCATCGAGTCGATCGTTGACACTGGTACGACGATCATTGTCGCCCCCACCTCGCAGGCCCAGGCGCTCTTCAACAAGCTCGGTCTGCCGACGTTCACTCAGGACGGCTCGACCTACGCCTACTACAACTGCAACTCGCCCCCTACCGTGACGTTCAAGTACGGCTCGTACACCAAGAGCCTCTCGGCTGCCACCACCTCGTTCGGTACCACCAACGACGGCCACTGTGTGCTCTCGGTTGCCGGTGGCGACCTTGGCATCAACGCCTGGATCACTGGCGACTCGTTCCTCCAGAACACCGTCGCCATCTTCGACACGGACAACAACCGCGTCGGCTTCGCCAACAAGGCCTAAGGAGCCGCTCTCGTCGGAACGAAACGAAACGAACCTCTTTGTCACGGCCCCTCTTCCCCTTCACATCAAGCAATCATGTACAAGGGCTCGCGGATCGGATCCGGGAACAGCTTCTCGGCGTCCGCCTCTCCCCGCTCGCAGCCCGCGCTGGTAGTAGCCTTTTCGCACCTGCCAATACCAGACAAGATACCTTTTCCACTTATTGGTCGTTCTGTGCTGCACGACGCCGCACTCTTGAGCGGCAGATGAAATGGGGCCTGCATTGTCCTGCGCTCTGCGTTGTTCGATGTTCTACATCGTCCCGCTTATTTTACGATGCAACGCCCACCTCACTTGATCCGGCCTTTGAATCGCATCCTTTGCCATTCTCTCTCGTATGTCGTCGGCCAATTTTTCTCGCCAACACAGATGTCTGAAAGAATGATAACAATCCACTGGTCGCACGTTGAGGACCGGGGGAAGCTCTTCGCCCGTAGCCATCAGTCGTACTTACCGAAGATTTCGGCCTGGCAGATGCCAACAAGATGGAAGGCAGCGGCTATATAAACGCAAACCTGGGGCTTCTGAATATACAAGCATTGATAGTGTAGGGGTATC